CTGTCCTGCCAGCGAAGAGTAAGTATTTTTTCCACAGCAGGCGTATATAATGAGGAATAAAAATTTACTGAAGGCTGAAACATCTGTGAAACCAGTCTAGGAGATTTAAGGGCTTTGCACATTTTATGCCTGGCCAAAACATTTTTTTTTACTCTGTTAAAGCTACTTATAACCCTGCATTGAGGAACATTTAGATGTTGAAATGTTTGTAGCTTTTGAACTGCACACGGACGAACAGAGTAGGGCAGTCAGGGTCTTCCTCCTTGGGCCGTCCGCGTGAGTTTCACCCCTTCTCCCAACCCTGACCTCTCCCTGTCAGAAAACAATTAGTGTTCCCACCCGCTTTCCTCTCCTTTCATCTCTCTCTCTCTCATAATATACCTCTGTTCATCAAGCTTGTGTTCATTTGTAGCAGCTGCCCAAACATAAAGGTGAAAAACTAATAGGTCCTAGTATTGAGACTTGTGGCACACCATCTGGAGTCAGTGTACAGCTTAGTCCACTGTGATTTTTATTTTCTTTTTCTTTTATTTGTTCACAAACTAGCAATGAGCAATACAAGCATTTATTAACCTTAGTTGTTGTAAATTTCAGCATTTACTAATATTCATTTGAAGTTAAAATTTGCATCTATTGTTAACAGTAGTTAATGCATTGTGAACTAAAGGCTGGAATACACTACACAATGTTTTCCCAGATTTTTTCCCCAATTTGCAGTCTGGAAGAGCCAACATTAGTTGGAGAAAGCCACAGTCAGTCTGCAGATTTTGGGCAGTCAAAAGCTGACAGATTTCACAGAAAATCACGTAGTGTATTGTGTGCAGCCTTAGCTTCATGATTCCATCCAGACGGTGGATATCAAACATGTTTAATATCTTGAGCCAATTTTTGAAAACACTGTTCTCCATTTAAAGCGACAAGAATTGTTTGTGTGATTTTGTGATGTTCTGAATGACTTTAAGCTTTAACAGATTTAAAGGGTTAGTTCACCCAAAAATGTCATTGTCATTCCAAACCCGCAAGACCTCCGTTCATCTTCAGAACACAAATTAAGATATTTTTGATGAATTCTGAGAGCTCTCTGACCCTCCCATAGACAGCAATGTAATTACCCCGATCAAAACTCAGAAACGTAGCAAGGACATCGGTACAATAATCCATGTGACATCAGGGGTTCAACCATAATTTTACGAAGCTACAAGATTACTTTTTGTGCGAAAAAAATAACGAATTTATTCTGCAATCCTCCGCATCACCCTGGTGCCATTTTGGAGAGTATCCACTGAACATAAACAGCGTATGCTGTTCTGTGTCAGCTGTGGATACGTTGTTTTCGTTCAGATCAAAGCGTAAACAACATAGAAAACGTATCCGCGTGGCGCAGCACAGAACAGCATACGTTGTTTACGTTCAGTGGATACTCTCCAAAATGGCGCCAGGGTGATGCGGAGGAGACGAATTGCTGAATAAAATCGTTATTTTTTTTTTCTTTGCACACAAAAAGTAATCTTGCAGCTTCGTAAAATTATGGTTGAACCCCTGATGTCACATGGATTATTTTACCGATGTCCTTGCTACGCTTCGGAGTCTTAATCGGGGCAATTACATTGCTGTCTATGGGAGGGTCAGAGAGCTCTCAGAATTCATCAAAAATATCTAAATTTTTGTTCTGAAGATGAACGGAGGTCTTATGGGTTTGGAACGACATAGAGGTGAGTAATTAATGACAGAATTTTTATTTTTGGGTGAACTATCCCTTTAAGGGGATGATGCCCGGTTTTTCTCTGTAACCATTTATATGTTGGCAAATGTTTAGTGCTATAAAATCTGTTCAGATCACACAAGTCATATAATGTATTCCAGGCCAAACATGAACAAACAATGAACAACTGTATTTTTATGAACTATTATTAACAAAAGTTAATAAATGTATTGTGAATGTTTTGTGCATTGTTAGTTCATGTTAGCTAATACATTAAGTAATGTTAAAGGGGTGGTTCATTGCGATTTCACTTTTTTTAATAGTAGTGTGTAATGTTGCTGTTTGAGCATAAACAATATGTGCAAATTTACGAAGCTGAAAGTTCAATGCAAACGGAGATATTGTCTTTTAAAATTCTGGCAGTTTAATGCCTACAAAAATGGCTGGTAGGGACTACAACGAGTTACTTCCCGGGTTCGTGACGTAACAAACCCAGATAAACCCCGCCCTTGGGAAAAGGCAGCAAAGGGGGCGAGGCCATGCTCCACTGCTTTAGAGAAGAGGAAGAGAAAACTAGAGGTGCATGTAAAAATCTATTCATATGAATCGCGATTCTGTCTTCTAACGATTCTAATGGATTTACAAGTTTCAAAATCAATGTTCTAAAACAGCGGTTCTTAATACTGTTCCTCGCATCCCCCTGCTCTGCACACGCTCTGCTTCTCTCTCTCTCTCTCTCATTCAGCTCAGCTCCAACAATGAACTGTTCCATTTTTTACACTTATTTTCACATAGCTATGAGAAGCGTTGAACATGGACACGCGTGCAGTTGTCGTACTGTATTAAAGCTTTAATCAGGATAAAACCATATATTAAAAGCAAACATAAGCAGTAACATTTACAAATAACAGCTTATCTAAAAGTATGAGACAACAAAAAACATGGACCTACCATTAAAAGCCGTGCTTGCACACGTTCTGCATGATCCTCTTCAATAATATCATCTGCTTCTCAATCGAGCTCAAACTGATAAGCGATATTAACGACGCCGTTGTTTACAATACAACCGGAGCTCATGCCGCTGAGGTGAGGGTCGGGATGCTTAGACTCGCACTAGAGGCGGTTTAGCCAATCACAACACACTGGGCTAACTAACCAATCAGAGCCCATCGCCTATTTCTGAGGGAGGGGCTTCATAAAAGCAGGAAATTATCTTTTTGATATTTTTTTAAAAAACCGAAGCATTTGCACATGTTAGACTGCACCCCATAAACACTATCAAGCCTAGAAAAAACCAGTGAACCACCCCTTTAACAAACCTTATTTCACAGTGTTACTAGTGATAGTTTTGTTCAGTTTAAATTATGATTTGCTCATGCTTTTTCTTTTTTCATGAAGAATCCCAATTGTTCTAGTCCTTTTCATTTATTAACTCAACATAATATTTCCATAATTAACACTATCGTTTTTTTCAAGCTTTTGTAGATTCATTTACATTTAAGGCACTTCGTAGATGCTGTTATCCAGAGCAAGTAAAAAAAACAAAAAAAAAAACAAGTTCTATAGCTTCACGATTTTAATAATGCTTGTTGAAAATTAAATGTGCCATATTAACCTGTAAAATAAAGGGTGACGGAAGAAACTGTGGCAGCTCATCTGCAAATATCTCTTTTGTTTCAAATCTGTTGATTGTTTCTTTAAACTGAGGTTCTTGTTAAATGTGTGCTTATTCAGCATGTAGTCATATCTTGCTTCCTGTTTGATAGGTCGATGCTACCTGACTCTGAAACAATGCTGGAAAACGACGGCTATGATGCCCCCGATGGCCAGCTAATCATGTCTCGCCTCCAGTGGGACGGCTCCTCTGATATCTCACCATCAGATTCGGCATCTTCAAAAGCCAGTGAGTTTTTCATGAACGCTTTTAAAAACGACACGCTCTCTGTTTCTTTTCCACTTATTCGCCGTCTCGTTCTCAGGCATCAATAACTCTGAATCTAAGAGACCTAAGAAAAAGAACAAGCCCAGTACACTGACTCTGACTACCACTGGAGGTGGAGGAGAGCGGGACAAAGGGCAGGAACGAGAGAGAGTAGTAGGCGGCGGGAGCGGGAGCAGTAACGCCCAGAATGCACTGGGCCTGTCCATTCGGAAAAAGCGACCAAAACTGCCAATTCCCCCAGCTCCTAGCATCTACGATGACCTGAACTGAGGAACATGCAACACACAGAGTTTGTGATCATGACTTGAGTTCTTATGTGATCTCTGGTTTCCACCATTTCAAGGTTTATGAACGAGATGAGACAAACTCTCTGTTGAATGTGTGTAAGAGAGAAAATATCTGGGGACCATTTCAGACATTTGTATCTGGGGCACAAGAGAGTACATTTGTTACGGCACAGTGTTGCACATTGAAAAGTGAGCGTTTTTGTGATTAAATGTTTTTTTGTATGTGGATGTGAGCTGGAGCAAGCATTTGTTTTTATTTTACTATGCAGCTCACTGTCATTGTGTTATTGCATACTCTTGTGTGTGTATACATGAGATTTGGTTTACAGTGACTCATGAAAATGTGACATGGTGTTCATGGTGAATGTTGGAGATTGTATGAATGTGAATGGGATGTTGCAAATATTTTGTTCCCTGGTGGCTCTTGTTTTACTGTAGGTTAATCTGTGCAATTTCCTCTACTGGTTTTAAAGGGTAACTTTCATATCGTCTTGCTAATGTTACTGCAACCTGTTGATCTCTTCTCAGCTGCTTTCTGCAAGCGAAGCTACTACGCATACTCTCTGCTAAATAATGGACTTACATAGTGCTACCGACAGCTTTCTGCCAAATCTGTGGATACACAATCTTTTGTCTCTTTTGAAGTTAATATTCTTGTTTGTAGTCATGGCTAATATTTCTTGTCCGATACTCTTATTTATTTAGTTTAGTGTCAATGTTTTTGTTTTTTTATAATCATGGCTTTTTGACTCCTTGATCTGTAACATATGCATTTTCTCTGATTACAATGTTTAAATGGCTGAAGAGTTCGATGAGATTTAGAGCACTTACTATGTTAGCTGTCAGCTTGTTTTGTATAAAATATGGTTGGTTAAATAAAAAAAAAAAACAGAAATGCAAATATCAATTGAAGATGCACTTAAATGGATAAAATCCAGCCCTTATAGGCACCTTATTTTTTTTCAGTAAAATTTTATTTTTGTCATTGAGCTGTGGTTTGTGAATTTTGTTGCTTGAAGTTTAAATGACCTGAGAGTTTCTCTGAGTGTGAATTGAAATGTCTGCATGATGGAGAAAAAAAGCAAAAACATAGTACAACTTAGGATATACCATTGCTGTGGGTGGATGTTTCTTGTGTGATGCTCAGTTATTGCTCTGGCTCTCAATGAACTGTAGTAGCTCTGTAACACTAAATAAATTTTTCTCACTCAGTTCTCACACTCATTCGTAAACTACTCTTAAAAGGACAGTTCACCCAAAAATTGTCATGATTTATTCAACCTCATTTAATTCCAATTTCCAAGCATGTATGACTTTTTCCATAGAGTGGACGTTACTGGCTCCAATATATATATGTTTATTGTGTGTGTGTGTGGATAAGAACAAAAAAAAATTAAAAGATGAGCAATTTTATTCAGAATTACTGCAACGCAAAACCAAAATGCATTTTAATTAAAGAGGTGCTAGTTGTCTGTTATAGCGCGAATGAGAAGGTAGACTAGTTTTCCCCTAAAACATATGCAGATTTTGCTGACAAAAGTGACCCATTCATACAAGAACCATCAAACTTGTCAGAGAGCTTTAAGGTTCCTCTATGCCCCTTTTGATTTATCTACAGTAAATACATTGCTTATATACAGATTTTACACAGGAGAAAAAATTATTTGCTTTGTTATCGGTGTCACACATGAAATGCAGTGAGTTTTCTACAGTGTGTTTGCATGGAAAATCTTCATGTATAAAACTCTTATGTCCTAAATGATAACTATGAGCTGTAACTAGCAACAGACATGCGAAACCAGACTGTTATGTAGAAATAAGTGTGAAATAAATACAGATTTCAGTGACACTGGCAAAAGAAACAAAAAAATCCTTCAATCACAAACATCAAAAACGAGTTCGAGTAAACTGATGTCTCAAAATAACTAGCACATCACATCTGTTATTTGTGTACTGAGATCTGAACATATGACATTTGTTGCTACTACAGACGATAGTGGTGCTATTACCAGTGAAGAAGAGACACATAATTGATAAAAACCAATCAGTCGACACAAATTGCGATTCCTCTAAATGAAAAGCCCAGTCAGGCGTGGGATCCTGACTTCACTTTACACATAGAAGCTACGCAGAGATTAAATAATTATAAAGCTATTTTTTTTAAGAAGCTAAATTATATAGCAGTGTTACTTTGTCCTGCTCATAAATGAAGCTGAAAGCACTAGCACACATCTCACCGCACACTCGACTTCAGACCTCTAAATGGCACCAGAACCCTCGAGGGCTCCCTGAGAACTTTCTCGGCTACCACTGATTGATTATTTTCACGTCCTATCGTTTCCCTAATACTGGCATCATTCCTCTCTTCATCCATCTTCTCATCGACTGTGCATGCCGAAGATGAGGAAGCTGAAGAAGACCGTGACCCCAATCAAAGAGATGGTGGCCGGGGCAGTGAACAGCTGGCGGTAGTTGATTCGGAAGTACCAGACGACGGCGAGCAGCACCACGAACACGGGGATCACCAGGCTTCCTGTGCTGAGAGCCACGCCGGCCGAGCGCAGCCCCCCGCTGAGTATGGAGCCCCTCCCGGCTCGAGGGTTCTCCTCTGTGGCCGCCTCACGCAGCGCCTGGGCTTGAGAGATGTGACAGTGGAGGACGCTGTTGTGGGTGATGTTGAGGGACAGGAGAGAGCGCTGAGGGTCCTGCAACAGCTGACCCTGGTAGATGAGCTTAATCTGATGTTCACGGCCAGAGAAGTATTTACTGATGGAGAGATGGAGAGAGAGAGAAATCATTAACAAACAATAGAGAGTTGCTTGTGCAATTAAGCCACAGCGAATAATGGAGGGATTTTTAATGCATTTGTTCTTGCTTCGTTTTGTAGTCTCACCCTGTCTTGTGACTTGCAAGTGTTATTGCATTAAGACGTTAATGTTTTGATGTGGTTTTAACATCAGTAGCAAAATGCTGATGCAGCTGACTCGGTCAGGGTGAGGTGGTCATGTGGATGGCAAAACATTTTGTGTGTGAAATGTAATGCATAAAGAAATGTATAAAAAATTTGGAAAAATAAAATGAAGAATATTGTAAAATATATATGTAAAACTTAAACTACTCTTCAAAAGTTTGGGGTCTGTAAGATCAAAAGTGAGAGTAAAGACATTTTCAGTGTTCCAAAAAATACAAATGAATGCTGTTCTTTGAACTTTCTATTCATCAAAGCTTGAAATAAATATATCACAGTTTCCACAAAATATTAAGCAGCACAATTGTTTTAAACACTGATAATAATAAATGTTTGTTGAGCATCAAATCAGCACATTAGAATGATTTCTGAAAGATCATGTGACACTGAAGACTGGAGTAATGATGCTGGAAATTCAGCTTTGCATCACAGGAATATATTTAGCAGTGGACAAATTTAAAATATAACTATTTTACTGTACTTGTCTATTCCTTGGTGAGCACAAGAGACTTATTTCAAATACATTTTATAAAAACCTACTGACTTTATTTGTCAAATAAATAAAATCCAGTCACTAACAATGGCTTCTAAAAATACCCTTTCATGTAATTTTAGAAGAAACGTAAAAATCAAGGTATATACTGAATACAATATGGCTGAAAAAGTACTTTTAGTCATTTGATTTTTTTTTTCACAGTCCTAGATCTGTGGTCGGCTGCATAAACTGCTTAGACGGTCACACTTTAAGGTCCATTTACCATTTTGTCTCAAACTTGAATAGTTAATAAGGTAGTTGTTACATTTAGGTACTGGGTAGAATGAGGGATGTAGAATATGGTCATGCAGAATATGTGCTTTATAAGTGCTAATAAACAGCCAATGTGTTAATAATAGGCATGATAATAAGCAACTAGTTAATAGTGAGAATTGGTCCCTATACTAAAGTGTTACCACTTAGACTAGTCTTAGTACTAGTCACATACTTACAGGTGCATCTCAATAAATTAGAATGTCGTGGAAAAGTTCATTTATTTCAGGAATTCAACTCAAATTGTGAAACTCGTGTATTAAATAAATTCAATGCGCACAGACTGAAGTAGTTTAAGTCTTTGGTTCTTTTAATTGTGATGATTTTGGCTCACATTTAACAAAAACCCACCAATTCACTATCTCAACTAATTAGAATACTTCATAAGACCAATAAAAAAACATTTTTAGTGAATTGTTGGCCTTCTGGAAAGTATGTTCATTTACTGTACATGTACTCAATACTTGGTAGGGGCTCCTTTTGCTTTAATTACTGCCTCAATTCGGCGTGGCATGGAGGTGATCAGTTTGTGGCACTGCTGAGGTGGTATGGAAGCCCAGGTTTCTTTGACAGTGGCCTTCAGCTCATCTGCATTTTTTGGTCTCTTGTTTCTCATTTTCTTTTGACAATACCCCATCGATTCTCTATGGGGTTCATAGATTCTCTATGGGGTTCAGGTCTGGTGAGTTTGCTGGCCAGTCAAGCACACCAACACCATGGTCATTTAACCAACTTTTGGTGCTTTTGGCAGTGTGGGCAGGTGCCAAATCCTGCTGGAAAATGAAACCAGCATCTTCAAAAAGCTGGTCAGCAGAAGGAAGCATGAAGTGCTCCAAAATTTCTTGGTTAACGGGTGCAGTGACATGGTTTTAGAAAAACACAATGGACCAACACCAGCAGATGACATTGCACCCCAAATCATCACAGACTGTGGAAACTTAACACTGGACTTCAAGCAACTTGGGCTATGAGCTTCTCCACCCTTCCTCCAGACTCTAGGACCTTGGTTTCCAAATGAAATACAAAACTTGCTCTCATCTGAAAAGAGGACTTTGGACCACTGGGCAACAGTCCAGTTCTTCTTCTCCTTAGCCCAGGTAAGACGCCTCTGACGTTGTCTGTGGTTCAGGAGTGGCTTAACAAGAGGAATACGACAACTGTAGCCAAATTCCTTCACATGTCTGTGTGTGGTGGCTCTTGATGCCTTGACCCCAGACCATTCCTTGTGATGTTCACTTAAATTCTTGAATCGATTTTGCTTGACAATCCTCATAAGGCTGCGGTTCTCTCGGTTGGTTGTGCATCTTTTTCTTCCACACTTTTTCCTTCCACTCAACTTTCTGTTAACATGCTTGGATACAGCACTCTGTGAACAGTCAGCTTCTTTGGCAATGAATGTTTGTGGCTTACCATCCTTGTGAAGGGTGTCAATGATTGTCTTCTGGACAACTGTCAGATCAGCAGTCTTCCCCATGATTGTGTAGCCTAGTGAACCAAACTGAGAGACCATTTTGAAGGCTCAGGAAACCTTTGCAGGTGTTTTGAGTTGATTAGCTGATTGGCATGTCACCATATTCTAATTTGTTGAGATAGTGAATTGGTGGGTTTTTGTTAAATGTGAGCCAAAATCATCACAATTAAAAGAACCAAAGACTTAAACTACTTCAGTCTGTGTGCATTGAACTTAATACACGAGTTTCACAATTTGAGTTGAATTACTGAAATAAATGAACTTTTCCACGACATTCTAATTTATTGAGATGCACCTGTATTTACATTTCAATTTTGCACATAACATAGCTGTACATACAAAATTGTCTAATTTGTATATTATTCCTTTCGTTATCTGTGTCTTGTCTTGTCACTGTCATTCTGTTGCTCTGTGGAGCTTCTGTCACTAAAACAAATTCCTCGTATGTGTAAACATACCTGACAATAAAGCTCATTCTGATTCTGATTCTGATTTAAGGTTAGTCATCTAATTTTTTTTAAGACTGATCACAACTTTTTTTTCACAGTTACATAAAAACGAGGATTGGTCAAATTTGAATCCTAAAAGTCAGACTGATGACACTGACTTAGTACTTGGAACTGACTTTATTTATTATAATTTTATTATACTATATAATAATTCCCCTATGTTTAAAGATTAAACACAAACTTAAATTCAAATCAGACTTTAAAGAAAGGCTTTTTTGATTTCTCCAATTCATATAGAAGAGTTAATTTTATTTTTTTCACTGCCTGCCTTGTGTGTGTTTCTCTCACCTCTTCAGCAGTCCAACGGTGTCCTGTGGTCTGAGTAGTGCCAGCTCCTCCGTGTCATTCAGGAACTTCAGTCTCACAGTGATACTGGCGGCCTCATCCTCTGCCTCCTCTTCCGTCCCTTCCTCCTTCCCCTCTTCTCTTTCATCACCCTGAACATAGCTCACTTTCTTTCTCCCACCCTGAATATCCAGCAGCTCCTCTCCAGGCACATCCTCTCGCCCATCCGGCCGGGCCTCTCCCTCTTCCTGCTTCTCCTCCTCCACGGGCTCTTCGTCCTGCTGCTCGCTGGGCTCTGAGCTGGGTGGGGGGTTGGCGTAGCTGTCGTGACCCCCGAGGCCGATGAGGGAGGCGTGGGCGCCCACGGTGAGAATGGTCCCCAGAATGTGATCTCCGCGGTCGGCCACGTGGGTAGACAGCCAGGCAAGGACCACAGCCAGGAACAGGACGACCACACCGCCCAAAGCCGTGGCCTCCTCGCCGAGCCCGTCAAGCACAGTTAGAGCACACACCGCCATCCCAGCCCCTCTCGACCTGCTCAGACAAGAAAAAGAAAGATCACATCAACCATGTTCACAACCCTTTTTACTTCCAGCATGTGACAAATTACCAATTAAAGCAATAATTGGTTTTAAAATACATTCAGAATGATCACAAATTTTTGCAATTTCACTTAGTATTTGTCTTGTTTCTAGTCAAAATATCTAAAAATTCTCTAATTAAGATGCATTTACTAGATAAGCTAATTGCCATAATATATTTAGTCTTGTTTCCAGGGGGGAAAACTAAATTAAGTGCATTTAGCTCAAAATAAGTAAAATTATCTCCCAGTGGAGTAAGTAAAATACTCTTGTTATAAGAATATTTTACTTGTTATATATATATATATATATATATAAACAGACTTATTAGACATATAACAAAAACTAATAAAATCAATGACAACACAATAAAATTACTAAAACTTTAACTGGAATTCAAAAGAAAATGGAAAATATAAAAATGAAAACTAATTTAAAATATCAAAAACTATTCATAGTATCTCAACGGTTCTATTGATATTACTCAAGTCTTTCATAATAAGACCAGAAAAGTGCATTAAAAAGCAAATCAAGCTCAGAAGTCATCTCAATCTTAGTGACCTGCTTGAATCTGGTATTTATAATAGGTCATTGTTGTCATTGGATGTTGTTGGACTTTAATTATGGGTTAGACTGTTAGAAGGCATTAACTGTCTGGCTGGATCATCTAGCAAAGCATCAGTGTGTTGTATGGATCGTTAAGAGTGTAAAGACCCGCAGCCAACTCTTGTTACCTAACACAAAGTGACACTTCTAGGCTGCATTAGGCAATAAGCCCATGACATTAAGTACTGAGTGACATACATTTCTTGCATTAAAACTATAATTCTCCTCTGTTAAGTTTTATATTAGTTCATTAATAATACACTATTACCAGACAGTTTGTACATTTAGATGTTCGCTAGCGATTTCCGCTAAAGCCTTGAAATCTTGAACAAACCTTCATCGTTACACATTTAATGTCACCCACAGGGCCTAGAATGATCTACAGTCGATACAAAACACAAATGAGACGAAATACCGAACAGAAAAAATACATTTAATGAAAAGTATCTGCTTTGTTTAGTCTGTCTGCAAGGGAAGGCAGCTAATCATGTAGCGGCGATGCATAACGATCTTGATTCGCAAGTTTTAACAGAACACATGTTCTTTAAACAGACATTACAGCACATTTACCTTCTCTTACTTCAGATCATTCTGAATCGACGCTGTTTTAATCCCTACACCAGTTGAAAGACGAAACGCTTGGCTCAGAAATAAATAAACACCCGTACAACCTCACGCGCACGCGCACGCATACAGCTGACGCTAGGGCTGGGAATCGATTCCTAAAAGATTCGATTCCTCGATTCCGAGGCGTTGGGAATTGAGAGTCGATTCCAAAGGTTGGAATCGATTCCATCAATGGGGAATCGACTCCTCATTCAGAGCCTAGATTAGAAGTCTGATTGGTTTCCTGATTCGGATAGATAAGTTTTAATGAACCAGTTAAAAAAAAAAACGATTCAGAGGTTATTTTACGGTGGAACTAGCTTGTCCACAATTTTGAGCGCTGCACGACAGAATAGATCACGACGTAATCGAGAGTCTATAAAATACTATTTTTAAAAAACATTTCTATCAGCCAATGATAGTTATAAATGAAAAAGTCACGAGCATAGATCAGTGGCCGAGAGCGCATCTGATTGACAGATAAACCACGAGCTCTATCGGTTATTGTTCATGTTCTGGTTATTTTGTTTCAGTGTACAGTTTGTTATATTGTGCAAAGCATACAGTCATAGTAAACTTCATCATTCAGCTGAACTGTGCACATTTATTTTAGACACTTCAGCTCTTGTTTAATTCAAACGCATGTCTCTGCTGAGCTGTGGACTGACTGACAGGATCTGAATGCTCACTTTCCCTCTTATTGTGCAAAGCATACAGTCATAGTAAACTTCATCATTCAGCTGAACTGTGCACATTTATTTTAGACACTTCAGCTCTTGTTTACTTGTTTAATATGTCTCTGCTGAGCTGTGGACTGACTGACAGGATCTGAATGCTCACTTTCTCTCTTCAGTCTTAAATAATTAAATAAATTAATAATAATAATAATAATAAAACATTGAATGTACAAAATGTATAAAACTAAACATCAATTAAAAAATGAAAATAAACGTTTTTGTTTGTTTGTAGTTATTGATAGATGAATACATTATGTATAGAAATGTATTTATATAAATAAAACTACACTCAAGGACAAAAATGGTTGTATGAGGCCCCTACATTTTGAATTGTATTTCAAAATTACGCAAGAAAAATTACTCTTTGTTTGTTTGTATGTATGTTTATTGATTGATCGATCGATCGACAAATCCATCTTCCATTTTGCAAATGTGGTAGCTTACAAAAAAAAAGATGTAGATCAACAATATACAATATCATTTTTTAATTTTCAAAATGTAAGAAATAAACTAGCAACTGTGATAAAGAAATGGCACTGCAACAGTGAGAGTGTTTATTTGTATACAACATCAAAGTAATAAATACATTAAAAAGCAATAATGCATTCAGTTAGTGTCAAGAGTGCATTTTCATTTCTTTGTTTATTTCACATTTTGAGAATATTAAAAATTTATTTTTACATTTTCTGGCACATATTAAAGCACTACCCACCTATCAGTATCAACATTACATTTGCAGCGCTTTATGTCTGTCTGTTGAGCCACTGTGGTCCTCTCAGTTCAAAGCCTCTGACAGTCAAAGTCCCCAAAGCACATTTGGCCCGGGGCCATAATCCACATTACTACTATTGTCAAGAGACATCCAGAAAGATCTGAAACCATCAGACATCAATTTATAACAACATATATTTATCACAGATGCTAAATATTGTGCAAAACAAGTTCAACCCATTGTTTCCAGTCAGCTATTTTTGTTTGGCTAAAAATGCAGCTCAACGGAGCAGTCCGTCATTATGCAGCAGGAGATCATCTTTTAAAGAGCTGGGAATGTTGAGCTGGACTATTGTGAAGTGACACAGTGACCCTAGGTGGCGGCGGAGCGCACAACGGCAGAGGTGCTGAAGAGAGCGCAGCTGACCGCTCATCCGTCTGACCGCATCGAAGAAAGACTGATGCTCCTGAGAATACAACAAGAGTTTTTTTTAATTAGGATGAGATATTCGTTTCTGAATGAAAATGTAAACAGATCAACCACTGTTGATAAAAAAAGGCAGGGCATGACCAACCAAAATGCAAAGTAAACTTACTGTATAAAATAAAACTAATAAGACTAATACAAGATAGACAGATAGATAGATAGATAGATAGATAGATAGATAGATAGATAGATAGATAGATAGATAGATAGATAGATAGATAGATAGATAGATAGATAGATAGATGGATAGTATCTATTGATTTGTATTAGATATTGATTTGTAAATGAAGCCAAACTGAGAACTCATTATTTCTCCTGAGCTATGTTAGAGCAACCTTTGGGCATAATATTTTTGGAATGTGATATATTTTCAGAGAGACCTTTAGTAGTTCCTCTGGTATGTCCTCTAACCACTCCTCACACACTGGGATGGCCGGGTAGCAATTCAGCATAACCTCCAAAGTGGCAGGAGAGGGCAGGCAGAGTTTCAGCATCTGGGATAAACACAGGCAGATATATAAAATAAGGATTCATACCAAAGTGTAGGTAAAGTAGGTAGGACACATAACAGTCTCCGCTTACTCTAGGGGAGGGTGGCTGTGCTCCATAGTTAAGAAGAGATTTCGCCACAACCTCTGGCTGCTGGGCTGGGTAGTCTTCTATTACCTGCCAAAATACAGAGAGAAGAATTCAACCATTTGGAATAATTAAGACAGCATTTATTTGATCAAAAATACAGTAGAAACAGTAACATGGCGAAATATTATTACAATTTAAAATAACTGTTTTCTATTTGAATATTTCTGTAAAAATAATTTATTCCTGTGATGACAGCTGAATTTTCAGCATCATTACTCCAGTCTTCAGTGTCACATGATCCTTCAGAAATCATTCAGCAGAATTTCAAATTTCGTGGTGAGATGTTTCAATAAAAGGTGCTCTTAATATTTGATAAAAATCAACATCTAAAAGTAAAAACAGGATCTTGCAAAAGTCTTAACCCTCTATCCCATCATCATCCCACCTGTAACAGGCAGTCCATGGGTGTGTATCCAGCACAGTTAGCAACGTCTGCACGAGCCCCATGTTCCAGCAGCAGCTTAACTATGCGGGGGCAACAGTTTCCACAGGCGTTATGCAGGGCCGTATGCATCTTCCTCCCAGCAGTCTGTGCATCAGCCCCGGCTGCTAGCATCTTCTGGACAATACGCAGATACCGCCCTGCATCTGCATGCCTCTCCGCCCCAGCGCAGGCTGCGTTCAAGGGTGTCTCGCCCTCTTGGCTTCGAGCTGTCACGTCCCCTCCATAGGACAGAAAGAGCTCCACGTGGTCCTCCAGTCCCCTCCTGCAGGCCACGTGAAGGGGGGTGAGACCTGAGTCTCGCTGGGCCACGTTCACCAGTGCACCACCCGTCACCAAGTGCTCAGCACACCTGCAGAGCAGATAAGAGTGTGGCATTGTTACTGTGTGCCAGAGGTAAAAAATAAAAAAAGGGTTAATTTTCATTTCAACATGGTGTGACGTTATGTAGTATGAATCACCTTTTGTTGTATGGGGGAAAAAAAGCTCTGAACTCATGCCAATATCTCTTTTAGTGTTTCACAAATGAAAGACAATAATACAGGTCAAAGTGACATTTTTATTTTTTGTTAAACTAAAAAGTTTGGGATTGTGAGATGTCTTATGCCTACAAAGGCTGCATTTATTTGATCATAAATGCAGTAAACAGTAATATTGTGAATATATATTTTAATATAATTTAAAATGTAACTTATTTCTGTGTCTAAGCTGAATTTTCAGCATCATTACACCAGTCTCACATGAACCTTCAGAAATTCTGATTTCTAATTCGCTGATTTGGTGCTCAAGAAACAATTCTTATTAAGGTAAACTAAGTTTAAACTAGGTTTATGAATGCTGAAAACAGCTGGGCTGTTTATTTATTTATTTATTGTAAATAGAAAGCTCTAAAGAACAACATTTATTTGAAATGGAAACATTTGGTTACATTATAAACAGAGTTTTATAATCAATAAAAATTTAAATCATTTAAAAAACTGTTGTTTCTTGAAATAAAATAAACCTTAACTGAAATAAAATATATATTTTTAAAAACCTTCGGTAACACTTAATGGCTTTAATGCATCATAAAGGGTTAGAGTGTATAATGCATTATAATTATTCATAATGTGCGTTGTAATACATTATATATTATTGTAAACAATTATAACCAAATTTAAAATGCATAGTGTAACAATGAATTGATAAGTGTTTTAATGTATTAACTGTGGTTACAATTATTCATGAGATTGTACAATGCATTATAAGGTGCATTACAAGGCATAATTATTGCATTAAAACCACTTTTATAATGCTTTATACATACTTTAAGTAAACTTTTCACCTAGTTGCCAAGGCAACATTTTAGTTAAATTTGATGTACTAAAATAACTCAAACTGAAATTAAAATTAACTTAATAATTAAATATATAGATACATTTAAAAAAAAATAGTATGAATGGCAAAAACAAAATTACTTAAACTTTAACTAAAATTACTATTAAAAAAAAGAAAACTAAAATAGCACTGATTATAAATGTCTTATAAACTGTCACTTCTGAACAATTTAATGCATATTTGCTAAATAAAAAAATCTTACTGACCCCTAACCTACTTTGAAAGATTTTGACTTTACTTGTGAGACATTTGGGCCATGTTCTTTACTTATTAATTTTGTTTGTTTGTTTTATTTGTTTATCTGACTGTGTGGAGGCCAACTCACTGATATGTTTCTGCTGCATTACAGAGGTGCAACGGGGCATTGCCGTCTACAGCAAGCAGGTCTGGATCAGCCCCGTGGTCTAGGAGCAGGCGCACACAGATGTGATGGCCTCCAGAACAGGCATCGTGTAAAGCTGCACGGCCGCCTGGGTCTGCATCCACCTCTGCTCCCCTAAACAGCAGCTCCTCGACGCAGCCGGAGTGCCCCCTGCTGGCAGCCAGACGCAGTGCCGACGTCTGCTTTACCTTTGAGGTTAGAGTCCACATTCCTGTAAAAGAATGAGAGGAGAGAATTCACCCAAATACACCTAAACGCATATGTTTGTTTGTGTGTGTGTGTGTGTGTGTGTGGTGGTGTGTCCTACCCATTTCCGGGGCCCACACCGTCTCCTCATGTACGGTCTCCATCAGTGCATTCACCATGCCTGGGTCTTTGAGGACGGCATACACTCTCTTCATATCTCCACACATAAAGATGTTATGGATGGCTGGGTCTCTGCACTGTATTTGGGGTGGTGGAGCACGTACTGTCTGGATCCTCTCGTTTCCATGTCGGAGTCTGGGGGCGGCAGGTAACGGACGTCTTGTCATAGCCCTCCTGTGTGCCAGTGCCCGCCTGGCGTCCTCCCAGTCCTGCAGCTCCTGCTCCAGCCTTAAGGAGCGCAGAGAGGCAGAAGTGAAGGCAAAGGTGTCCCGGGACATCCCAACAAAAGCTTTTGTATTTAGAAGTGTACTAGAGTTGTACGCCTAGAACAAAAGGTATTGGCACAGAAATTGTGGCCTTGTGCTGTAAGAGTGTTAGTAAAGCAGCATTGCTCGATAGGCATAAGCTTTTCCAATCAGCCATAGGAACACAGTTGAGTAAGTAAAACTCCTACCCAGCAAGTTTTGCTTCCGAGTTTAAGGAACAGACTAATAAATCACATTAATAGCATGCAATAATAACACAGTGTATATGCTCTAAAGATAAGGTCTTCCTACCTTGAACGCTCTTCAAGTTTCTCCTTTTCTGGCAATACTTCAATAATCAAGATAAATTTGCTTAAAACATTTGTTTGGTATTTATAACAGGCAATGCTCGAAATATTAGCTATTTCTGTTAATAAAACGACCGCATATCCCTTCGAGAACGGAGCTGCCTGTCACAAGATATTGTTGACCTGACACATGTTGGAGCTCTGAGTATTAATAGACTAGAACGTGAGCAAATATGTTCCTGCACTAGCACGATATCGCCTGTAGATGGCGCGTCAAAATGTTTTTTTGCCATATCACTTGTCCTGTGTAAAATTCAAAACAAAACATTACTTACTGGCCAGATGTCATGGTTCTTGAAAATTCAGTACTCAATCACTGCAAACTATTTTATGCATTCACCAGAATAATACTTATTATTATAACTGTATTAAATTTGTTATATCTGAATAAACTTATTTAAAACAGTTATGTTTTTGAGGTTTTTTTTAAAACGCTGTGGTGCCTTTTGTACCTTTTGTTTTGTAAGGTTTATATATTCATAAGAAACTATTAAACTTCTAAAAGTAGTAGCATGAATAATATCTCAGGATGTGCAAAAAACGTAATTTTACTTTATTATGAGAAAGACTTTGTATGTTGCTGACACATTTTCTTTTTTTATCGACCTAAATGGACATAAACGCTTTTTTTTATAAAGGCTGAGGGTTTTTAAAGGGCAAAATAAGACATGACATGGGACATAAATAATTTATAAAAATAGATAAGAAAATAAATAATAGGAAAAAATAATACAATAAATAATAAATAACGAACACATTAGGCGCACGACTTTTACTCATGATTTCCCAGTTTGCATGCAGCTCAAGTCATGAAAACTTGGAAAGTGGCTCAGTCTCACAATTTCTTATCGTCTGCGTTCTTACTTTCACTTTTATTTCTCATGTAGCCTAAACGACGCCAGGCACGAAATAACGAAATTAATTTTTAGGAAAACGGGGAAATCCTCTATTTTAAAGGAGAACAGAGCGACGAAGTGTTGATATCGATACACACAGGTGAAAAAAAATACATTACATAACGTTAATCATCTTAAAAAACGACAGTGTAACTGAGACTCTTCTCACGAACTCTGTTGTTAGTTACACTTCCTGTGTGCTCGAGCTCCGTACACAAACGGTCGGTGGACAGGACAACGACTTTTACGTACTTTTGGTTATTATAATGAGGAAGGTAGTAACTGACAAAGCTGGAAAAGTTATTTCGATATTTATCTGCTCAAATGGCTTGTTTGGTGACGCATTAATAATCATAGCGCCCTTCTCCACTTGTGTTTACTCAAAATCAGTGTTTATAGGTGGCAGCCCTGAAGGATGGCAGAGGAAGGCCGCACGGTGTGCGTTCACGGTTTACCAACAGACGTGGATCACGAACGGCTCCGGGACAAACTACTGATTCACTTCCTACGCCAGAGGAACGGAGGAGGAGAGGTCACGGCCGTCACTATCATCGCGCGGACACCTCCGCGTGCCCTCATCACATTTGAGGAGAGCACAGGTCTGTACATGACTGATGATGGCTGCTGTTACACAGCAGAGTAAATGCTGTCAGTAGATGGATACATGGATATTGGTGAAATAGCGAAGGAAAAGTGGGGTGAACTGTGCCACTTTACAACCTAAGTTGTCCTCTAAATATTAACACAAATAGTTGTGTTTGCAAAACAAATGTAATTTAAAGTTGAACGTCCAACAAGTTAAATATTTTCATTTCGCTCTTCCATCTCTTTTATTTATTTGTCTGTTTGTTTGTTTGAACCATAACTTATTGTAGGGAAAAATTTTCTTCAGGTATCGAACTGAACAGTTGATTTATTTAAGCAATGAAATAGTCCACATTATACAGGGTTGCTACGTCAGAAATATATTAAAGGGGTCATCGGATGCCCATTTTCCACAAGTTGATATGATTATTTAGGGTCTTAAAGGGGGGGGTGCAATGCTGTTTCATGCATTCAGAGTTGTTTACGCTGTAAAAGAGTTGGATTCTCATGCTAAGCATGGACAAAGTTTCAAAAAACAATTTGGACGTATTTCTGTGCCAAAAATCTTACTTCCGGGTTCGTACAAGTTTTGGAGAGTTTTTTTTTTCGATCGTGGCTCTTCATGACGTAGACGAGGGTGGAACTCCTTATATGGGCATTTCTCCCGGAAGAACGCGCCCGCGCACGCATCGACCAGAGCAAGGGCGAGAGATCGCGCCCATCAACAGCGCTTCATCTGGCGGCAGCGCTGCACAGGGCTTGCTCTGGAAGAATGTCTCCAAAGAAGTGTGTTTTTGGTTGTAAGGGAAAGATAACTTTGTTCAGCTTCATAAAGAACCCAGTGTTATGTAAACAGTGGATGCAGTTTGTTTTTCCGGGGCAGCAACGGAGTTTCACACGTGTGTTTGTTGACGAATGTTTTATAAACAAGGTCCAGTTCGACGCTGGATTTGCACATCGTTTTAAACTGAAAGATGGAGCGGTCCCAGCTATAAAAGATCCCGGTCATGATTCAGAACTGCAGACGGTAAGTGAAACGGCATCAAATGTCTGTTTTGTTGGCATTCGGCGCCCAAGTGCTCATCACTCTTTAGCTCCGCCCACGGCGCGCCTCTAGGACCTCGGCTTTTTCCGGAGAGAATCGTAAAGCTGTACCTTTCTTTTATAAATATTACAAAACTAAAGACTTTTTGGAGATATGAAGGATACAGTACTACTCTATAGGTACTCAAGATTAACATGATATTGGGTGAAACTGTGTGTGTTATGCCCCCTTTAATGAAAAGTCTACAACATACTTTGGTTAAAATTTCTCAATGGTAGTATAAGGCCCCGATCACACCAAACGTGTTTTTTACGTCTTTTTTAGGGCACTGCACTGCCTTTTTTTTGGTGAATTTTAAAAAAGAGCAGTGCACTGCGTTTTTTTATGTTGCTAGGCAACCACCAAATAAGCTGTCCTGTCAGTCTAATCAAAGGGTTATAGCGCGAGCGCTCTAAAATCTTTGGTTTTTGCTGTTAAGTAAACTGTCATATTAACAGTAATCCTAAAAAATACTGCTCCGGGTAACCCGCGACAGACACCAAACGTTTCTCCTCCATCTTAGCAGTCTCCGGACTTTCTAAGCAATGGTAAACTTCCGTCATCACAACGGAAGGCCCGCCTCTCCGTTCATTCAATTGGACAATGGAAAAAACGTGAATGACATCGGGCGCTTTTTCCGAGATGGTCCTCACTGCAGAACACAATCAACTCCTCCCACCTTACATATACCTAAACCTACCCGTCTCCACCCCCTGATCCCTAAACCCATCCATCTCAACCCCCAAGATGTGGATCCAACCACGCCCCCTGGATCTTGTGTTCTGCAGTGAGGGGCTACTGCTTTTTCCACTCAGAGTTGCTTTTTTTTCAACTTCAGGTGCTCAGAGCGCTCCTGCAAAAACGCGAGGTGCACAGGGCGCATAAACAGCGAGCATAACGCTCACAGAACGCTCACCTAAGGGGTTATGATTTATGATCCACTGGGTGGATTTTTATCATCATGGTGTTTGTGTACACGCACTGCCAAGACACATTTTAGTTCAAACACCATGTAAAAGTGAATTTTGTATCCAATGACCCCTCTAAGGGTTGTATCTAGCCTACATTACCTTAATTTACATGCATCAATTAAGAATTTATGGCTATTCATAACCAAAACAATTTACATGGTTTTATCCATCTTTTTCTTCAACACGGAAGTAAGCGAGTATGTGCGAGTCTTACTTGACAGTTGACAGTTCATCAACTGCTATAGGAAAATAACGAGAAGAATAACAACATGCAGTAAATGGTAAAACTGTTTGCGCTACAAACCAGTGTGTTCATAATTAAGATAATACATCACAATAATATGTTAAGACACACCCATTTTCAATATCGAGCCGCAAAGCAAGCTGTTTTGTACAGCTAAAAATAGCTGGACACGCATAGACCCATAGAATTTACAAATGGCCGTGTCCGCTCTTACAGGAAGAAAAAGGTGGATAAACTGAAAATGTACAACATTTTATGAGACCGTATATAATTTAGTAACTGTATATGTTTGCATTGCTATTTACTTAGGTATTTTTACTTTTTAGCATAAAATGTTGACCAAACTTACCCCACTTTTTATATTTCTGGTGCATACATTGAATTTCAATGCATGTAAATGTGAATGTCATTGCCAAAGTAGCTGGTAGTTGGAAAAAATCCAAGATGCACTGATTGGCAGCCAAACGGCTGGCATATACTTAATGAAATCACTGGCTCTTGCAAGCCGATTAGTCTGCCAAGGCAACATTTTAGTTGTGTTGTCAGTTTGCTGATAAAGTGTATGTGTGGGGGGTGGCCAGGTTGTGCCACCCCGTGTATTCTTTATGTCCTGTCAAACTTGATTAAAAGTGAATGAGTTTTCACTGTGCTTGTGTGTGTGTATCTTGCAGCAGAGTCAGATAAGTGAGAATCAGTGTCTTTGGTGAGACAGAGAGAAAACGACAATTTATACTTTTATTGATCAGACATTATGAAAAATTAACTTACATCTGTGTGTGCAAAAAAATCTTATTTTAATGTGTAAACTGCTGAGCAAGTCTTTGCCTCTCAAATGAGATTGATCCTCTCTTTCTGGTTTTATTTAGTGGTCCAGAGCGTACTTCGTCATCATCCTCACATTTTACTGCTAGATGGCATAAAATATGAACTCACCCTGAGTCTACCAAGACAAGAGTCCCAGAGTCTAAATAAGGTTTGCTGACCTTTATAAGCATTGCATTTGACAGCTTTTTAAAAAAAAAAATACAAATTCCATTTCCCAATCGTATCTAGTCTAGTATTCATTTTGTTTTGACACAGTCACAAAGTTTATGTTTTTGCGCTCCTTTAGGTGATCCTCGATATGACTGTGACTATAGATTGCAGTCAGCTTCCTCGCGGTGCAGAGACTCTGAATGTACTGCGCAGTGAGTTTCCTGGTCTACGTATGCAACTTGGCTTATTGCAGGACACGTGCACCTTGCAAGGCAACTACTCTGATTTTCAAGGCGCCTTTCCTTATATGCAGACGTTATTTAATAATCACCTTTCAAAAGCCGAATATCCTAATTTTAGTGGAGACCGAGGTCAAAGTCTTGAGAAGAGGGAAGACCTTGCAAGTGTAAAGAAATGGGCCAGCTTTGCATCCCGGTCTTCAGGAGATATCAGCTCTATATCCATGGCAGGTTTAGGACATGTGCACTACGGACGGCAAGACAGCAATGAAGCCCTCACTGAACGCATTACTCGGACTAAGAAAAGCAAAATGGAGGAGGGGGCAGAGTGCAGGAAAGATGAAGATAATTTGGAGGATCTTTCGATCATCATGGAAGCTGATGTGTTTGGGTACCTGCAAAGCATTAAGGAGTACAAGCAAATACTGCAACTTCATGGAGTGCAAGTGGTTCACCTTACATCCGAGGGGGTCACCACCCTGTACCTACAGTCAGAGGTCCCAACCGGGTTAGGGGTTAAACAGAGCATGCGTCAAGCCCATAAGGAGCTCAGGCAGCTTTATCAACAGTTAGAGGGTTGTCTGAGAAAAGACCAGATTAAAAAGGGTGCTCTTTACATGCCAGACGGACTGAATTCCGCATTAAAAAAGGTGCAGTTAGTACTGCCTAATGTTCTGCTTAGCTATGACCAGGACAGCATTTATATAGTTGGAGAAAAAAGGGAGGTGTCTCAGGCCAAACAAATGCTACTGCTTGGGGGGGAGGAAGACGTGAGGCGGAACTTGACGGAAATGCCAGCATCCTCTTCCAGTTCTCCATCAGCATCCCTTGAATCCTTGGAGAGAGAGCAACAGGTTAAGAGAAAAAGTGAAGTACACACTCCAGTGCCCCCTAAGCTGATTGGTTCTCGCACTGAACGAAAAGGGGACGTTGGGAATACAAAAGAATACAAACTAGCGGCTCGGTTTAAAAGCTCTGGGCTAGGAGAGATGGGTGGAGACATAAAGAGTCTCACAACTAAAATGGACATGCTAATGTTAGACCCAACACCACCCATAAGGCCTTCGCTTGGCACTGCAGGCGTACTCAGTAATGAACTGACAGGGGAAGGAACTGAAACATTCAGGATGACAAGTCCAAGCTGTACAGGAGAGGATGTCCTGTTTAAAAACCAAGACACGCTATCTGGGAATACATTTGGTGGAACCACCTTCAACACATCCAAGGCCAAACCAGCTACTGCAGCTGGACTCACTTCAACATTGACCACAGGAGTCAAAGTTTCAGTGAACACAAGTGTGAATGCCCTATCAGCCAGTAATACTGAAGTGAAGACAGCTGCTCCCTCCTCAACGTCACTGCCCACTTCCAAATCCCCCTTAAGGAGAGCCAATAGTTTCTCAGGTCGGCCACACCTAAAAGATCAGGTGAAAAATAACCAGATTACAGCTAAGCCAATGATTAGCACACATGCTTATCAAAGAGCAAGATCCAATAGCCTCAGTGGTGGAAATTCCTTCAGTCCGATTCCTTCAGTGGAAGCAGAACTAACTGTGTCTTGTGTAATGTGGATGTACATGAAGGAGGCCTATGGCAACCAACTGGATGCTATGAAATCTGGCTTAGAAATGACTGAGAAACAAGCAGGCAAAAGTGAGACGAGCGTGACACTCAAGGGAACAGATTCATCGAAGGTTGGAGAAAGTCATCGGCAGCTTCAGAATCTAGTGGCTATGGTAGCCAGCGACTTTTGCTTTCAGGAGTTGAGTTTGACAGAGCTTGGTGTGGTTGAAAAAGATAAACTGTTTGAAACCTGCTGCTTGAATGTGCGGTCACGTTTTCGCAAGGTCATCTTGCACAACATGAGGAACAGCATTTACTTGCTTGGCCCAAAATTGCTCTGCTCTCAAGCCAGTGATATATTTAAGGACATATATCCTGGGCAGAAGTCTCCTTCCTTACCACAGATGAAGACCTTGCAGGAGGGTGTAGATCAAGGAGCAGCCATGTCTTCTTTGAGCATACGGTCATCAAAAGCGGATCACTCTAAGTCTGATCAAAGTCTGAAGGAATTTCCTTTTCAGGATACAAGTCAATTGGCTCAGTCTAATAGCAGCCATAAGAGTGAAGGACAATCAACCAAACCGAAATCGGCTACATTGGAAAGGTTGGAAAACTCTAGATCTACTAAGGATGAATTAAGCAAGACAAACTCACAAAGCCAATTTACTTATGCCAGAGAAGACGCAACAAGACAAAAAAATTATGGGCCAACTTCTTTACCACTTGAAGCATACAAAAAACAAGATACCTCAATGACCTTGAAACAGACCAACCTGCTGTCATATATTGTTTCAGAACAATGCTTGTGTGGAGCAAATAATGCAAATGTGAAACGGACCACCTGTGGTATCATCCTTTGCTCTGACTGCCTACAACTGCATAAATACTGCCGAGTGTGTGGAAAAGAAGAGATGATCTCTGAGAAGAAGGTTCTGGGGGATCCGGTTCAAAGTTGTAGCTCAAAAGATACACAACAGGAACATCAGACTCAAGAGCAGCATTCACGACAAGAGGACAGCAAAGAACATAAGGGCATCCAAGGCACTATGACATGTGTGGAGTTGACTTTGAGTCTTCCAGGCTATAACAAATACACAACGGTCAAGATCACATACTGCATACCTGATGGCATACAAGGGGTATTAGTTTTGTGTATTATATCTTAGCTTATTAAGTAAAGCATTGTAGACATATAGCTTACAATTGTGCAAAATATATTATAATATCAGTTATATAATATAATATTACCTTTTAATTTCTGTGCCTTACGCATCTCTTCTAGGATAAGGATCCCTGTCCTGGGTCACCATTCGAGGGTGGTCAATTTGTGGCTTATCTGCCACTCAACCCAAAGGGACGGAGTTTATTGCCTTGCCTGGAAAAGGCATTTAATCAAGGCCTAACATTTACTGTTAGCTCAAGCAAGAAGGCTGGTGGTGATGCAAAAGTAACCTGGGGCAGGATCCCCCACAAGACCAGGGTGGATGGAGGAAAGAGTGGGTGAGTCCAGATGCTAAGCTGAACAGACACTAAGCTTGCAACGATAATTATACCATGGCTGGTGGCATAGACATGTTGATGAGTGATTTCTATGATTTTAGAGATTACTAATTATCTTATTACTTATGATTTCCTAATATAATTTTAGCAAGGATGTGTTGGTGCTTAACCACAGGGGTGTTTGCCCCAACTTAGTGTCTACAAACTAGGATCTCTTTTGTAGTAGAGAGTAGCCATTTTTATTATTAGGTAACAATCTGTTACATGACTGTGTCAGGATATCCATGGCATGGTTAAAACATTAGCTGTCACTCAGACATTGCCAGTTGAGGTTTCGTGCTTTTTTTTAAATTCCAGTTACATTTTTGAATTTATATTAAGTTTGCAAAAGGGAATCCGAATTGTAATTTAAATTTGAGTTGAATTAACGTACATTTTAGCTGACCTTTAACTGACTATAATAAATGTTTATTTTGTGCTAAGTATACTACAAATACATTAACATATTTATGTGCTTGATAAAAATACCTCGCAATTGTACTTTTAGTATACTAAACTGTTATACTTGGTGTCTGCTAAATTGGAACAACTAATTATGTACTTAATGCACTTTAATTGTGCTCCAACTAAAGATATACTGAAATATATTTGATTGTACACTTTAAATATCTTGCATTTAAAGACTGATATTATGCAGAGATCATACAGTCCTTATTAATAGTGATATTAAAACATGTTAGCCATAATATTAAGAAATTTGCATTGTGCAATAAAGAGATACTTCAAAATTTTCATTATAATTTTGTATCAGTGAGTCTTGAGCGATATGTCACTAAATAGGTTAATGGATTTGTAGTATAGTTAGTATGATATACATGTATTTTAAATAAATGATGGCATAGGTTTTTTTACTAGGGAAAACCTTGTAAGAAAGTTTTAAAAAATGTTTAAAAAACTGTAGGCCTGAAAGATAAATCAACATTTAGTATATTTATTATATTTAATAAATGTGGACTGGGAGAATGAACGCTTAATTTCTCAGAATGCGTTAATTTGACATTTAAAATATCCAATTCAACTTTTTGTGTGAATGTGAAATATTTGTTTGTGTGCAACAGTGGATATCCAGACTCGACATACCTTACTCACTTGTGTGAGGCACTGGTGGCTCGTGGGATTGATGGAGTACCTGCAATTAGTCAAGAGCAAGCCAAATCCTGACCGTGAGAATAACATTAAAACATAAAAACCACAAATAATTAGTAAACTCTGCATACTTCTTTTTATATATTTCCTTCCTAGAAATGTAAATCAAGTAACAATCAATGTAAATAATCTAAATATAATACTGATTGTAAAAGACTACTTAATCTTTTTATTTGAATGTTTATGCACTATTCCTGTTAACAGTTATTGTTGTTGTTTTTGTACTTTTATACTCATTTTAGAGTGCCATTTTCATTCTATAATCATGTTTTAATCTGCATCAGTAATGCTCAACATAATGCTCTGTATATTCTGAATCAGTTGAGTATGCTTTTAATTGAACAATGATCTCGTTTTAGAGGTTGTGTTTGTTAGTCACTTTGTAATTAAATTCAACACTCCAGCAAATCTCTGATCTGTCAAACTGTTTCACCTACTCTGGCTTTTATAAGTGGTATGAATATTGAATCTGTGTATTATTTTGTTGTAAAACCGTAAGGAAGGTGCATCATAATATGTAATAGATTTTGAATAAGCATGGCTCGCTAGAATTTTTATTTTTGTTTTTTTTTGTAAAACATGCGATCACAATGCTAGGGCATTATGGGTAATGCAAAAGTGTTAATTCGATTTTAGGGTTATTATGGCATTGTAAGTTTTCAAAGGTGCACTGAATACTCAATGGTTATCTATTCTGAACTCTTGTCTAATATTACCTTCTTCATTTTTGAATAACCCTGCTTAATGATATGGCTCATATGTCTGTAGGCTAAATAAAATTCATTCCAGTAAAATGAGTTTTTACTGTGCATTATACCGTATACACATGAATCTTATCAATAGTTTCCTTGTTCCTTCTTTTCACTGTACAAAAACAAGTACAGCAACATTCCTGTGCTTTTTCCTAATGTGTCAAAAGAGGCTGGAGATTCTCTCAATCATTAGCAGCTCAGCTCTGATTGGAGAGAATTTCCTACTACTTGTTTCACTTCTGTTTCAGTTTTTTATAACCCTTTATGTGTCGGTAAGTTGTTATTTTAGCATGTGTGTTTGGCTCAGTGTTATTTTTTTTTTTAGGATTACTGATAAACTAATGTACTTTGATTTGTATTAGTTATCTATTTTGTAGTAATGTTGTCATTTTATGAGTTTTTTATTATGTCTATATAGGCTTTTAGTTGTTATAAGTATAAGTTTTAGTTGTATTTAATTTGAGTTATTTCAGTACTTCAACATACAAAATGGAAATGAAATACCGGTAAAAAAAAAATATATATATATATATTGAATGTATTTATATATATTTGTATATGTATGTGTGTGTGGCTGTACATACACATATGTAGTTGTTTTTTGGTGTTTGGCTTAGTGTTATGTTAGAATCCTTATTATACTCATACCTTTTTTTTATTTTAATATTTTTTTGTTTTCATTTAAACGTTTAGTTTTGAAATGTTGTATGCATTTGTCATTTTTATTTAATTTCTTTTATTTTCTTAAATGTGTGTGTGTGTGTGTGTATATGTATATGTGTATATATGTATATATGTATATGTGTATATATTATATATATATATTAGGATTTATAGAGTTTTAGCATTTAGTTTTAATTACTTTTTCTTATCTGTAAGTCACTGTGGATAGAAGCGTCTGCTAAATGAGTAAAAGTAAAGTAAAAGCTCTGCAGACTGTCTGGACCTTCTCCAGGATGAACACTACTGTACGGCCTGCATCAGGCAGAACTGGGGTCAACAAGAAGACCTGGGGCCTCATTTATAAAATGTTGCGTATAGACCGTCCTAAATTTGTTTTAAGATCATTTCTCAAAAGTGCATAAGTGCGATTCAGAGAAAACGAACGTGCGCACAAAAACACGTGCGTACGCCTCTCTTCCAGATGTGACATTTATAAATCGCAAATGATCTTGAAATTGTGTGCAGCTGACTGGTGTCTTTCCGCCTTGTAAACACCCCCTAATTAATATCATTACCATATAAAAGAGCACACGCCAATATCTGACTTTCTATGCTTGAGAATGACAAGCACAAAGAGAAAAAAAAAAACCTTTACTGAGTCTGAAATTGAGGTCCTGCTGGCGGAGGTAGAGGTTCGTGCGGGGACGCTTTTTATTTAGCCTAATAATGTGTAATTATTCTGTGGACAAACAATGTGTGTGTGCTTATATCTTTTCTATTGACTTATCAAAATTACCACTTCTAGAAACAACAGAAATAATAATAATAATAATTATAAAACCATTAGGTTTCCAAAAGTAAGAATAAACTACGAATTCAAGTACAATTTTCAGTCATCTTATAAAAAGTGAGCCATCCTACTTTTAAAATCACTTGCTATGACAACTAATAAAAAGTTTAGTATCGCAAAATTCTTGCAAAACTTAAAAAAATATTATTGAAAGATAAGACGTTTCATATCATAAAATAAATTATTACTCGATTATGGTCTCCGGTCTGAATAAACCTGCATGTGATTTGGCATTTGTTCATATTTACACAGTTTACTAATGCTGCTCAATTGTGCCATTAATGTACTGACACAAAAATATATAGTGTATTTTATACAAATATAACTGATGTAAATGACAAAAACAAAGTTGAAGGCTGATGTCTCTATTCATTTTCACAAAAGCAAAGCAGCAGATGTTATAAATAAAAACGGTTAACAATGTTATTGAATAGAATAGGCTATATTAAAACCATTATTGCATGACATAGGCCTATTCTTATAGGCTACACAGACAAAACCGTCGGAGACGAGTTTATGCATTTTTTTTCTATTTTACGCATTAGTAGTAAAACAAGACTTTGCAAGTATTGACCAAATAAATGCAGCTGCAGTGAGCATAAGATATTTTTTGAAAGAAATGTTTTATGCTCACCCCAGCTATCTATCGGTCTATCTTGCAAGCACAAGAACAAGGATGACAACTGTTAAAGCAGCTCAAAAATAAATTAGTTTAGATTCCCCCCCCCAACATTTATTTCATTTAAAAAGAGAAAAACACTGATTTTTTTTTGTAGTTTTAATGACTTTTCTACTCTAAAATGTGGGTGGGAAAAAAAGAATAGGTATGTCAAAAGTTTTGGCTGTTAGCGAATTTTCTCAGGGCAAAGCAATGAAAAAACACTTTGTTGACAGGGTTGAACCTGTCAAACAGGTTACTGTACTCTAAACACACCTGTTCCTTTTTCCTTCTCTTGCACTCACTTGCTCGGTATGGAACTTGATTACGTAGCTTACTGTGTAGAGAGAGAACACTGAATTTATTACAGCTAATTATTAGTTAAGATAACTCTGTGAAATGGCAGAGGAGTGTTTTGAAGACCTCGAGCCGTTCAACTGTCCCATCTGTCTGGACGCACTCCAGGATCCAGTGACGATTCCCTGCGGACACAACTACTGCATGAGCTGTGTTAAAGACTACTGGGATAAAAATGGCAGCAAAGACACTGGTTACAGTTGCCCTCAGTGCAGGAAGACCTTCTCGCCTCGACCTGTCCTCAACAAAAACACTATGTTTGCAGAAGTGGTGGAGCGGTTTAAAAACACAGGCCTTCAGGATCCTCCACCTACACGTTATGACGGACCTGGACACACGGAGAGAGAAATCTGCACAGCAAAAAAATCCAAAAACGTCAAGATGTGTCCAGAAAGTGAGGATTTGTGCTGCAGGGCCCACCTGAGATATCGTAACAATGGCTATCTCAGAGAAAAGCACACAGTTATCGTTGTAAGCGGGGAACCCAAAGGAAATATTTGTTTGCGGCACAACAGGCTATTGGAGTTTTCTTGTGGGACAGACCAACGGTTCATCTGCCCACGGTGTCTTAATGAAGCCCACCAAGGACATGAAGCGTTTTCATTGGCACCTCAGAAGACGCAAACACTAGAGTGCAGTACGACTCTAGAGAAACGAGAGCACAGGAGTAAAGACAAAACAACTGGACAATGTAAAAGGAGAAGTCATGGCTCTAGGCATAGACACAGGAGCGGACAGACCCGGGGCTCACATGCTAAAAGAGGGCATCAAACACACCGGCATAAAAGTAGTAAACACAGAGGTAATTCGCATGAGCACAGTCATGAGGCTGGACACCGAAAGAGACGACTGGGAATCATGGTCATGACAGGACCTGGCACTAGAAGAACCTCTGCGGATAATGTTAAAGCAGTCTGAACCTTGATTTTGTGTACAGCGTTACAAGTGCCATGTTGCTTTCTAGAAGAATGTTGCTTTTGCTAGATTCAGGCATCTACAGAAAGCTCGCGTCATTTCTTTTGAGAGTCAGCAATCCATTTCTGGATGCTTTTTAATGTTCATTCTATTGTATTACTGAATTATTAATTAGCATGATTGTTTGATGTTGTTTGTTGTTCTCAATTCAGTGTTGGGTGTAACTAACACATCTAAAATAACTTGTACACTTGGATCACATTTGTTATATTGAAAACAACCTGTTTTGAAGAGTTATGATGTTTCCGGATTGTTGTATCAAGAGTTTTTTTTGCACATGTATAAGGGATGTTTTTCTTTGCAGCTGTTTAATTAAGGAAACTTCCATTATTGTTTCCTGGCCTGGAAATTTGATTTATTTGAATTAATTTTTTGGTTTTTAAATTAAATAGCTTTAAATAGAACGTCTTAACATCCCTAAAACATTCAAATCAGAAGGAAAATGACATAATATATTAATTCTTGTTGTGGCTAAATTTACTGTGGTTTGTTTAAAAACAAGTAAAAACACTTGTGACAACAGGTACGAAAAAGCTACTTGTTTTCCATGTAAATTAAGTTCTTACCACATCAGTAAATAGGAAAATTATTATTTTTTTGGTTACACCTGTACCTCAATTGTTCTTAGATTTACCTTAAAGTAAATGTATCTGGTTTTAAGAATTTTTAGATAACCATAGTGAAAGGCTAGGCAAATATACCAAGTAATAAATAGTTTGCAGTGCACACATATCTTGTGTATTTTCCCCTCAACAGTTATTGTAATATGGTCACACTGGAAAACTTAAACATAAATATTAAACTACCCAGTGAGAACATGTGTTGTAAATGACAGAACATTGGGAGTTGTACAAAACACTTGGAAAGGGGAGCAGATCTGATTACGCTACTCTCTCTACATTACCTCAGTTCAGACTGAAATAAAATCCTCTAAATAACGTGCATCTCTCTATAAGCATGTATGGCTGAAGCATGTTTAATAACGACTCCGAAAACACCTCTTTTAGTTATGCTCTTTAATTAGTCCTGGAAAACATGTAAGGCAAAATGGTCACATCACACACAGAAGCGTTATGAACTCTACGGTCCTCATGACCACACGCAGTCCAACCAACCCAGAGTCAAGCACAGAAACAGCAGCACTTCAGATTCTCAAAATTATATGAGGAAAGTTTTGATGGAGGGCTTCAAGAAACAAACAACAACAACACAAACAACCCGGTGCTTCTCTGACGTGTGTGGAGGGGGAGGAGCATTAATGCTGCCGGATAGGGGCGGGGTTTGAATTTAGAACCAATCAGTGAACAGGAATGTAAGCTGGTGCCTCTGATTGGCTCTTCAGTCAAAAAGCCAAGCAGGAAAGTTGGAACTGTAATTCACAGAGTGCAAACGGAGCCTTTTGTGAATTGAGATCTTTCCGAAACGTCTCCAAAGTCTCCATGCATCTTTATTAGCACAAGTATGCATCCGAATGTACATAAAAAGTGCATTAAGACAGCGAGATGTGTGCAGTGTGCATTTGCGAGACAAAGATAGACCTGTTACGCTGAGCATGTGTGGGAAACAGTCCACAATGACTCACTGTTTCTCCTATGTGCCAGACAAAGAGAAGGCAAATGCATCGGCCGTATAAATTTAGAGCTAAAAGCCTTTCGAAGTTTCATTTAATTAGTGCTTTCATTAACGCATAAATTAATAAATACATTTCACTGTAGGCACACCAAACTGCACTATGTTTGTGTCTCTAACATCCTAAATACCGTCTAGGCATGATGCGATTTAGCGCTGGTTAAGGCTGCATTTGCAGCAGGAATTCTGCACTCTGCAAAGCTGAGGGGCGTTTCCTGTTCTGGGAAAACTATTGGATTGAGAGACTGAGGAAGGAAGCAGCTTGGCTCGATCAGAGCCTCTCTCTGGCTCCCAGTCGCACAATTCCATATCCACGAGAGACTCTCGCACCTGCAGCTGAGCTCATTGTGGAGCCGGTGTGAACTCCAAAAAATAAAAAAAGGAAGAGGAATACTCCAAACCATCACGCTATAATAATAATGTCTAAACCTTGAGAGATTTAAAGTGAGCATTCCCAGCCCAGATGTCATTGTTTTTGGGTGTGGGTGCTCCGAACGGTCTCTGAACGGACCCAGCGGCGCCTAACGCTAGCCAATGCAGACAGAACTAGGGAAGAAACCGAATCGACAGCCGCTCTGATGTCATAAGCAGCCGAGAGGAGTTCCAGAACCGGAATGTCGCTGCTGGATCATCTGGAAATGAAAACACAGCAGGGTTTGCTCGTGAACGGGCCTCGAAGACTAGATGTTAAAGGCATAGGTCACCCAAAAATGAAAACTCTATGATTATTTACTCACCTTCATGTCGTTCCAAACCTGCATGACTCTTTCTTCTGCACAAAAAGATATTTGGAAGAATGTTGGGAACAAAATCCTTTCTTTTGGTTACCATTGACTTCCATTGCATGGTCAAAAATATCTCCTTTTATGCTTCACAGATAAAGGAAGTCTCACAGGTTTGAAACAACACGAGGGTGAGTAAATAATGACAATTTTCATTTTTAGGTGAACTATCCTTTCAGGATTGCGATTGATTACTGTACATTCACGGAGAAACAAAAAACAACGAATAGCCAGCAAATCCTGAAATGGCTTGGAAAACTACACAGACATGAATCATTCGTTCGTTCTGACCGCTGCTGGATCTTTTTGTTGGGTTACATCGGGTCATAGGTTAGAAAAGACGCCTAATTTCCTATGAACACCCACATGATACACAAAAGTGCATCCGTAAACAACAGTACACCTGATCTGGGGGGTTTCAGATCAGTGGGAATGAGATTCCAGCCCTTCAGGACAGCAGAGCTGAGACGGCGTTAGGGACGAACTACTGTCTACGTGCGTGTATATGCATTCGCGTGTAAACATGCGTGGAGGCAATCTGGTGTTGGTCTACGACTGAGGCACAGTGAGAACGAGAGGTTTTGCATGGATTCGAACGTTAGCGGAAAACAAAATTCGGAAATCAGTCAGCACCAATAATATTCAGGGCGTAGTCGACCACACACGACAGGAGCGAATTCAGAATCTCAAGATCTTTTACTGCAAGGTCATTTTGACAAAAACCACAGACGGTTAGGTTTTTTTTCTTCATCTTTCATTCTTTGTTTTTTTTTTCTTCAGTACAGTAAGCACAGTTATAGCGAAGGTCATGCCTTCACGAAAAAGTTTGGCACACTCGGTCAAGACCAACGAAATCACATGATTCATCACATTTTAGAGGAACTGCAGCAAAGCCTTTTGAACTCAAACTACTGAAATGCAGACCACAAAAACAAACAAACAAACATACAAAAAAAATTAAACATAATACAAAGAGGACGGGTATTTTTCACTGAAGTTAGTTAGGGTCACTTGGTGCTCTGAGTCACCATCCACAGGAACACAGGAAGAGAACCAGCGGAACACAACAAGAAACTGAAACTCAATCCCTCGGATCCGGAACTCAAAACCGGATCGGGATTCAGTGAATTGGAACATGGTGACTCTTCAGACTAGTATGGCTGTTCCACACCCACCCCAGTGCATTCTGGGCCTGAACGGTTATCTGCACTCGTAGTGATTATGTAAACACGAGCATGCATCGAACAATGCGGCCTTCTGAGCATCTCCATGCACGTTCAAACGCTTATTTCTCGGTTTTAGAGGCGCATACAGAGCGAGTGTGTTGGTGGGAGAACGAGAATGTGACTGAAACGGTGTGAAAACCCAGACGGGATCCAGAGATACGGCGGATTGGGTGTGGAACAGCCATGCTCTGCAAGTGCAAGCTGAGTGCAAACGATAGCAAACCAATGCAGGCCGTTCACGGGGGCCAGAATATTCAAGAGTGATGGTGAGAGTTAGAAACTGATGTAGGAGGAGAGAAAGAGAAGGTTAAAATGCCAGACGGTAGCATAAGGTAGCATGAGGGAGGTAGAGAGACAAAGAAAGATTTTTTTAATCTAAATCCGACAACAAACCTGAGGACAGACAGCCAAATACAGAAACACACGTACTCGCACACAACAAACGTACATATAACAAAGGGGCTCTGGTTTTGTTTCCCATAAACACTCACTGAAATGAACCAGACTCAGTGTGAAAAGAAAGAGAGCAGTCAGCAGGTGTCTTGATTACTTGAATGATAGCACTGCAATGCATATAAATCACCAGCGGAGGCAGTAGATTACTGCTCTCTGAGAAACTGGGGAGGAGGAGGAGCCAGAGGGATTGATTATTCTGTTGATTGAATGATTGCAGAAATGCAGAGCTAATGTCAGGAATCAACTGGGGTTAAGCTAATTACACTATACACCCCTCCATACACACACACACACACACACACACACAAACCACTCCCAAACCGCTGACACGGACACAAAGCACATCCACAATGTTTCTCTCCACTCAGTTCTCCTCTTTCTTGGTTTCTTCCTTCTTTTCTTCTGCTTTCTTGTCATCCTTCTTGGCCTCTTCCTTCTTCTTCTCCTCCTTTTTCTCCTCCTTCTTGGCATCGTCCTTCTTCTTGTCTTCCTTCTTCTTGTCATCCTTTTTCTTGTCCTCTTTCTTCTTCTCCTCGTCTTTCTTGGCCTCCTCTTTCTTCTCCTCTTCCTTCATGGGCTCGGTGGTGAGGATAATTTTACCTATGTTGTTCCTCTCTTGCATCCTACGCATGGCATCACCAACCTGAGCAGGAGAGAGAGAGAGAGAGAGAGACTGGTGAGGGTGTGGATGAGGAACGGCAGAGAGAGCAGCTTGACTGGCCATCTGCTGTGGTAAGAATATCTAACAAGCTGTTGACATTTGATCTAATACTGAACTTCACACGCACACAAACATCCTTTATGAGATTCTTCATGTCTCCAAATTTACTCTTACTCCAGAGAATAAGGTGGCAGATGACCTCTAGTTACAAGCCTTTGGATTTACAGCAGTGAGAACTATGAATTACTAAAAGAGCATTTTATTGAACAAAAATTTGGAAACGCTCCTGAGTACCAGAAGTCTAGAGGGTCTTTAAAGGCAGGGTAGGTGATTTGGTATGCTGGCTGAAAGTCTCTTCACATCCTGATAGCAATCGCCTACACTACCTTTAAAGTTAACGCATATGGAAAAAATACACAAAACTCCAATTCTGATTTCATGGACCATATTTACTGCAACTCACTAAAAAAAAAACAGTTTGAAAACAGAAAAATAAATTTTAGGCTGTTCGTTTATTTCAGAAACAAAAGGAAAAATTATTTCTTTTAACTGGCTAATCAGACAATTTACAAATGGCAATAATCTAAAAATGTCTGAATATCAGCGAATATTGTTCTATATATTGTCTATCACTGTTCCTCAATGGCCAGTACTCAAATCTAGATAGCAGTATGACTTTAATTTTAATAATTTATAAATAATAAAAATAGATTTTTTTTGTTTATATTTTATATTCTAAAATTTTATACATGGATAATTACACAAATTAAAACTTTTTGATGTAATTTTAATTTAACACTTATTTAATATAATGATAATAATTGTTTATATTCTAAAATTGATTATATATATATATACACACACACACACACAGTGGGGAAAAAAGTATTTAGTCAGCCACCAATTGTGTAAGTTCTCCCACTTAAAAAGATGAGAGAGGCCTGTAATTTTCATCATAGGTATACCTCAACTATGAGAGACAAAATGAGAAAAAAAAATCCAGAGTTTGATGTCAATAATGTCAATATATCCAACTATCAATCATATAATGCTAAAATGCAGATGAAGATGAATTTATGTTCTTCCTCTTTCAGTGTTCAGTATATCAGCTAGTCTCTGGTCAGTCAACCTGTCTCCTGCTCTGTTTCCCCCCCCAGTTCACCTCTCCTTTACCACTCTACCTAACGACCAGCACCACGGCAACAGCGAGCCATCTCCTAGCAACAGGAAAAAGCAACCTGGCCCTGACGATTGACTTGTGGACAGATTGAGGAAAGAGAATGAGACAGGAAATGAGAGCGAAGGACAGGGAGATCAACATACACAGAGCGCTTCAAACAGCTCTTCTCATCAGCTCAAGTCTTGTGAAATATTCGCTTCAGTTGAATGTGAAAGCAGTTCATAATTCCTTTTACGAATTTTCAATAACACCAAAGTCTGACGAGGCAGATAAAAGCCTGGATCGTTATAAAAGCATCAGCTCGCAGTCGCACTTACTGCAAGCAGGAAGAGACATCTCCATAGCAACAGGACCGATAAGAAAGGAGGAGAAATAATAGGGAAAGATGGATGAAAGAACAAGTGAGGGACGAGGCAGGAACGATTGATCAAAGGGTGGAAGGAGTACAAGGCATGGGTGGTGGTTGAGTTGACACCCTCACATATATTTAATCTCAATGGATTTCAACTTCCTGGCATAAATACACTTCCAGATATAAATTATACTCGCGTTCTTTTCCCCAAAACACATCAGCTCCTGTCTGACACTCATTCATTCACCTGTTCTAGGTGGTAGGTGGAGTCAATTCGGGGCTTGATCTTGCCCTGTCTGTACAGGTCCATAACGGCTGCCATGGCCTGAGCGATGAGCTCAGTCTCAGAGTCCAGGTACCCCAGGTGAAATCCGCACACCGAGCGGTTTCCCTGGATCAGGCTCAGGGTGTGTACGGAGAACTGCTGGTACCAGGTCTTAGCCACCGCAAACAGGTTCTTCTTCTGACCCGCCAACATGTTAGCGGCACCTGCAAACACAAACATCAAGTTGACACAGAAGACATAGATATACATCAGTGCCTTAACATCAAGATTTTAAATCCATTCTCGCAAGATATTACTATGATTTATGGGATGGGAGGTATGACTGAAATGTTATTACAGCATGAGTAATTTTTTTACTCATGCTGTAATATTTTTACTCATTTTTATTATATATATATATATATATATATATATATATATATTAGTATGAGCCCATTGAGTTTTAATAGACCCCCTATGGCGTGCGGTGAGATTGATGGAGGTAATTGAGAATGAATGGGAGAAAGTTACGAGAGAGGAGGCAATGCCTCAATTGCGATATGATTGAATATGACTGGTTATGTTCGGTTGTGATTGGTTCATGCGATAAATCCCGCCTCAACATATGACTTGAAATGGCCCAAAAACATGATCTGTGGGAGTTTTTAGTGAGTAATCAACTTAAAACCTCCTATTGGTCACAGACCAATATTTACCGAGTTTTGATGACTGATGACCCGAAAAATAAAAAAATTGTTACAAGTTAACTGTTAAAAAGAATAGTTCAAAAAGAAAATATATTGTATTGTTATAAAATAAATTGTTACTGCCTTGAGTTATTTTGAATGTAAAATGCTTAAAAACACTAATCTGAAGAGATTCATACTTGGCTTTAATAAATAGAATATTGATTACATTGTTAATGTAAAAATATAATTATTTTTATTTTCTGATAGTGTAAGTAAAGTTTAAACAAGAAAATGTGACGATGACATGAATTTATAATACATATAAATTTTTTTTGTTAACACTTTTATTCAGCAAGGATGAATTGATTAAAAGTGACAGTAAAAATTTTAAATTTATGAAATTGTAATAATTTCACAATTACCATTTTACTGTATTTTATATTAAATTCCTTGGTGAGTGTAAGAGACTTATTTCAAGAATATTTTCAACAAAAACCAAATGGGAATGGTTTTATATTTTAGATATTCATTTGTCAATGCCTGTTTTGGATAAATCAGTGAATTATATACTAAAAGGCATTTTGTCTCCAATTCATAACTTAGAAAAAAGATAATATTGTTTCTAACAAAAGAATAAGTTTCTTAAGCATAAAATAAGCCTCTTAATAAGTTTAAAACTTTTGTTTAATAGCTACACAAGTAAACAAACCCAAACATTTTAGCACCAATTAATAGCAAGTTATTCCTTGTGCACATCCTTTTTTTTTTCCATACCACCTATTCCTACATCCTATAGCATGTAAAAATGTATTTGTGTGTGTGTGTGTGTGTGTGTGTGCGCGAGGTGTCTGAACTGTGAGCATGTTCCTCGAGCATGAATAGGTATTTGTGTGAGTTTTCTGCATGTAAAATGTGTGTGCAGTTGACCGACAGGTGAATTAATGCTTAATGGCTCCCACAGCGAGCGTTCTTCATTTACAGAGGAATGACATGCCTCTCTGGCCCTCCTTCTCGCTCTCTTTCTCCCTTTTCCAACACTGCACTCTTTGACCTGTCTTCATTCGCTCACTGTCCGCACATCCTCACGCGTCGCTTCCCATGTCTGTCACTCCCTCGCTTGTTTTCTCCCTCTCGTTTTAGTGTCTCTCCACATGATTATCCCCTTCATTTCGCACATGTCTTCTCTTTAATTTTCTAACAGTCTAACCATCATTCTCTCCATTCACTTCAACGGTGGCTTATTAGCATGAAATAAGATCAAAACGCCACATATTGGGACGACAAAGGATATTAGAATAAATTACACTCCATCGTACCATTAGTGAGGGAGAAATGTACACATAAAGCAATGACAACCCTCTCTGTCTCTCTTTCTCACACACACACACATTCACACAAAGCGAGCTCTGAGTTGGCCAGTGATTTGGACCTGACCCAGTCTGCTACATTCGGACACATTCTGGGTTCTGTGTCAGATAGAGGAGCCATTGTTCTGATAAAGCAGGATAGAGGAAGAGAGTGAGCGAGAGAAAGAGACAGAGGGACAAAGACAGTTGGGTGGGACTTTAGGACGCCATGTTGTTTAAGGGGTCTTGTTCCGGGTATTGTGTTTCTGAAGTTGATTTACTGTAATATGTCACCATCAAGCTACTCACGACTTGTCTGCTGGGATGTATTCAATTTACCCAGCAAAACCTCAGCCCTACAGATTGAAATTGTAGCACTTGGTCGAAGTGACATGGAAAAAAAACATGTGTACGCGAGCTGATGCTCAGAGTGTCTATCAAGGCTCACCGTAGCTGATGAGCTTCCCCATTGGTTTCAGTAGGTTGTAACCCTTATGAGTGTCAGAGCCTCCCAGAGGATCCAGAACAATATCCAAGCCTAAAACACACAGGAAGAAAGACACAGATGGTGAATGACCAAAATAATGTTCTTCTTGCATTAATTCATATACACTGTATTTATAAAACTGTAACTGCTTGCCCAATTAACAGAAGTCTTAATTTAAAAGAGTGCATCGGTTTTCGGTTTTAATATACTTTTGTGTGAATAAGCAAATATTGTGTAAATTAAATGCTCATTTAAAGGGGTCATATGATGTTGCTAAAAAGAACATTATTTTGTGTATTTGATGTAATGCAATGTGTTTATGCGGTTTAAGGAAAAACAAACAAAAAAAAAAAAACACATTTTCCACAATGTACATTGTTTCTCCTCTATGCCCCGCCTTTCTGAAACGCGTCGATTTTTACAAAGCTCATCGGTCTGAAAAGCGAGGTGTGCTCTGATTGGCCAGCTATCCAGTGCGTTGTGATCAGCCGATGACAAACAATAAAGCGCTACTCTACACTGCTCAAACTCGCGTTTGAATCAGTGGCAAATCCTTTAAATATAAAAAAAACTTTCACAAAACACACAGTGCCTTCAGGACATGGCAGCGGCGGCAACAACAATACTATAGCGAGAATAAAAGTTACGCCTTCTTTCTTTGCGTGAACATTTGGGCGGCGTTATGCAAATCTTCCCACACAGTGACGTAGACATGTGGGGGCGTGTTAGAACGAGCCATTTTAGGTAGGTGTGGCTGACTCTTAACTTTTATAAAGAATATCTCTTTGGATTTGAGACATTAGTCTTTGCAACTTTACACACCAAGAGCTTGTAACACTCCAAAGAGAAAGGAAAAATTGAAAATCGCATCATATGACCCCTTTAATTTTTGCTATTTTGTGGCTTTCATTAACATGGTGTAAAAAAAAAAAAAAAAGTGTATGATTCTTTGAAAGAAATCAGTACTTTTATTTCGCAAGGATGCATTAAATTCAGAAAAAATAACAGTAAAAAATGATTTCTGAACGATCATGTGACACTGAAGACGGGAAGAAATTACATTTTAAAAATGCATTAAAATAGAAAAGTTGCTTTAAATTTTAACGATATTTTATTACATTACTGTTTTTACTCTATTTTAGAGCTATTTTAGCTTTTGTGAGCATGAGACTTTTGAAAAACTTTGTTTTTTCTTACTGACCCTAATATATTTGAATTTTTTTCTATATATCAAAAGAATCTTTCTTTTATAAGAATGTTTATTTTATTATTTTTGATGTTTTCAGCAATGCATGTTGATCGTGCTGTGTTTTAGCGGTTAGATAATAAGCACTGTAAAACAAAAGGCTAAGCCATTTCGTCTTTAAAGCTCCACTGCAACAACAAGTTTAGCACATCAATGTATTGCCTAAGTTCCTTATTCAACAGTTCTTTATGGGTTAACGCTGCTCTCGTGTTGACCGGAGTGGAATGTCATCGATGTGATACCGTGTTACTAAATTTCTAAGACTGTTATGGTCAGAGGAGTACACCAAATAAATTGTTCGGTCATGGAAAAGAGCTGAACAGAAAGGAAGGAATTCGTTTTGTACATTTTTGTGATAAGATAAAAGAGTAAACAATGTTTTATCAGACACCGTGATAAAAGTTACAGCTGACACACACAACAAAACCTCAATAGACACCACCAAAAAAAACAAATGTGAAAGGCAGAGTGGACAGATGGACTTCAAAGTTTAATATACACAAACGGTCTGCTAACAGCAAAGCAGAAAGCCTTAAAGACTTCTTATGTTAGATTTCCATTTTGTCTTTAATGGCATATATATTTACTAGGCTATTTGCGTACATAGCACCCAAAGTAAAAATAACAAACTCAAACCATTTACATCGATTTATTTGTGGTGATTAGTCAGCGGGGAACATGTTGCACTTAAAATGATGTTTAATTATTAACAGGTGGTCTTAAACAAGTTTATTAACCACAGATACACTACTGTTCAAATGTTTGGGGTAGGTAGGATTTTTTAATATTAATGAAAGAAGCATTTTATGCTCACTAAGGCTGTATTTATTTGATCAGAAATGCAGTAAGAACTGTAATATTGTGAAATGTTACTACAATTTAAATGAGTTTTAATTTCAGTATATTCCAAAATATAATTTCGGTGATGGCAAAGCTGAAATTTCAGCATCATTACTCCAGTCTTCAGTGTCACATGATCCTTCAGAAATCATTCTAATATGCTGATTTGCTGCTCAACAAACATTTCTTATTATTATCAATGTTGAAAACAGCTGTGTTGCTTAATATGTTTGTGGAAACATTTTTCCAGGATTCTTTGATCAATAGAAAGCTCAAAACAGTATCTTTATGGTCACTTTGATCAATTTAATTTGTCCTTACTGAATAAAAGTACATTTCTTTCAAAAAAATCTTGACCCCAAACTTTTGAATGGTAGATTATGTTCTTTAAGCTGGTTTACTGTGTGAGTGCTCACCTTTGGGGCTGATTTTACGGATCTCCTCCACATAATCACGTGTCCGGTAGTCAATGGGGTGTGTGACTCCGCCCTGGCTGATGACCTCGTGCTTGCTGGCCGAGGCGGTGCCAAACAATGTGACATCATTCACCGTTTTACACAACTGAGTGGCAGCGATGCCCACCCCACCTAGAGAGGAAACAAAACAAATTATGAAACCAGAAAAGCCCTGAACAACTTATTTTCAGCATCTTCCATCTCAAAACAAGAACAGAAACATGCAAGCAAAGGATACAGCAGGATAAAACTCAGTGCTGCCATATGACCTTAAAGACGAGCACCCACCCACACATGTACAAACATTAGGACCATTGTAGCAATGCCATTATCCTTGTTTAACTCGCAAGTGCTTTCAAAGGCAAATAACTTTGATTACAATTTATTAATGGATTTTCTACTCTCATGCATTTTTTTTCTGTTGAGGAACACAAATGAATCAGAAAAACTCAAACTCATGAACACAAAAGCTTAACTTTTAAACGCGGTGGTTTATGGTGAAAGTTTTTATGAGAACCGTTTACTGCGTACACAGTCTGCTACCGTTACTACTGAATGCAGGCAACAGCAAACATCTTTAAGTCATTTCAAAGCATAGTATTTTTAGTGACAAGCTTTAACCTCAAGATTGAGAGAGGCTCCAGGACAGCAGGTCACCAATCATGAGCTCTGTCTGGGGTCTAATGTCTTAAAGATGCCATTTACATCAGACATAGATTGTGAGCAGATCCACTTAATCTAAATTTTTACTGCACGTCTTGTGTGCGTGTTTCAAAGGGAGAGGCAGAGCTGTGTCTTAAAATGTCACTAGTGCATGAACCTACAAAGGGTAAAGCTTATCTAATGACAAAATTAATAGAGCGCACATACAGTACGTACAGTGATATTCATAAAATGTGATCAAGTGCTCTAGGCCAGGGCTGTCCAAACTCGGTCCTGGAGGGCCGGTGTCCTGCAGAGTTTAGCTCCAACCCTAATTAAACACACCTGAACCAGCTAATCAAGCTCTTACTAGGCATAGAAACTTCCAGTCAGGTGTGTTGAGGCAAGTTGGAGCTAAACTCTGCAGGACACCGGCCCTCCAGGACTGAGCCCTGCTCTAGGCTTTGGATTGTGACAAATAGTGCTCACACACACACACTTTTACTGGCCCTTGTGAAGAATAGGATACAAAATTAGAGCCTGATAATCTAAAAAAAATAAAAATCCCTTTTTTTTTTTTTTAAATAAAAAAGCCAGAATGAGTAACAGCATGCAAAAACAGCCTAGTCAAGAAACAAAATCTATTAAAAAGAAAAATCCATGGATATGATACAAAAAGCCTGACGCTCTTAAAAATTAAGTACATTTTCATTTGCTTAAAATAACAAAAGTAAAATAATAAAAAAAAATAAAGTAAAAAAGTAAAATAAAATACAAGCCAGAATGAGTAACAGCATGCAAAAACAGTGTAGTTGAAAGAAACAATCTATAAAAAAGAAGAAAAGAAAATTATACAAAAAGCCTGGCACTCATAAGTCAGATGCTCAAAATCAGACTCAATTTTCAGAAGCTTAAAATAAAATAAAATAAACCCAATGACAGCGTGCAAATATAAGGTAGATGGGGGGGGGGGGGGGGGGGTAGTTCTTGATTAACTTATTTGTACAATAACACTAATAGCAACTGCATGGTTGAGGTTGATACGGTCAAACTCTACAATTTGCATAAAAATGAAGAATATTTACTTTTCTTCCCACTATGATGTAGAAAGGTACAAACTGTTAAGCTGTCTACAACGTATAGCTAAATAAAACCATGTATACAAACACACTGCAAGTTAATTAGCTTAGCTAGTGAATCAGATGAGAGTTCAGTAAGGGGCGACACTGAATCTCTGTAGTGCTCATATACAGTATCTTCTTCTGTTCCATCACTTCATTAAACTGGCCCTCTCTCTTTCTCTCCCTCATTCACTTGCTAGTGAATAAAGTTTGTGTTGCCATGGCGACTCAGGAAGAGTTGGTTTCTCTGAAAGCAGCGGGGCCGCCATTTTCTCTGTCAGAGAGCTCACAATGCATGAGAACACACGTCTCTTTCACATCATGCTTTTAACCTGCTGTCTCGCCTCCTGGACCTTGTGTGGGTGGTGCAGTGCCAGGCTGCCCCATGACCACTGAGCTCCGATCACAAGACCTGTGACAGAGCTGCCAAGAGATCCCCTGAAACTCACACACACAAAAATGAACCTTTCATGTGTGCTCATATCTGATAATCTCCTAAAATATGTGCACTTCACTCGAGCATTCGCCAAATTTTTTGTGTGAATTTGACTTTCTGCACAGGTAGGAAAGCCACACTAGGCTTCGGCCATGGGAAATTACGCTTCCAAGTCGGACCCAAGGTCTAATAACTGGAGTGTGTGTGTGTTTTATATATATATATATATATATATATATACACACATATATACACATACACACACACACACACACACACACTTCTACATATGAAAAGACATTATATATAATTATTAAATGCAAGGCTGCATTTAAATATTTTTTTTTATTTCAAATTAATATATAATAAATATAAATAATTCAATTCAAATAATAACAAAAAACAAAACAGGAAAAAAGAAACAACAACAATAATAAATAATATTTTCCCCCAACAGTAATATGTTTGCCATACTAATTGTGTTAACAAACCATCAGTGGTAAGGAAGTATCTTTCTTTTATTTATTTATTTAATTTAATTTAATGTTTTCAACTTTTTTCTTCACTGGTCTATTATTGTGTTATATTACAGAAACCCGCCTCTAAATAGCATGCAAAATCAAAAACTGTAGTTTTCGCTTCAGGAGATCTCTTTCTGTCCAAGTGGGCAGTTCTTGGCCAGAGTAAGCTGCAGTGAGGACCAGACCATATGTCGTTTCATCAAAGGTCTGGCTATAAGCGAGACATTTCTAAGGCAACACTGTAATTGAAAAGTAATCCAAACAAAGTGTTTCTGAATAAAATATAAGTGCACTGCTCAAACTGACTCAGGGCTTGTGGGGAGCAAGGGAACAAAGAATCCGTAGCTACATAAGCAGATTCTCCTGTTTAATTCCATTTGTTGAGCTTAGGATTGTGTGGCATTTTTATTTAAGAAAATTAAGTGCAATGTTCATCTAATCAGGTCATTTTACACAAGGGCATACGAGGGTGAAACACGCGCACAGTGAACTCTTTATGCTTCCTTCTATCCACACATTCATACACGCGCACACAGACTTAGCCAACAATCTCAGCCACAACAATATTACCCTCCTCGAGCGAGAGGGAATTTTCCCCCAAAACACTGAGGAATTCTGCAGATTTCCAACATACGAGCACTCAGCCCACACCCTCAGTGCAAATAGAGGACACACACACACAGAGACAGAGACAGAGAGAGAGAGACTTGTTTCACTGCAAGTTGTTTGACAGGATTCAAAGTGGAGGCTGTAAATTTGTGCTCATCAATAAACAGCTTCTCGTATCGGATTCTTACTGTCGAGTTCTTCAAAACGGATCTCAAATCAGCACTAAAGGCAAAGGTCCAGCAAACCAAATAAAACCGCTAGTGACTGGTCAGTCGAATTCAAGTGAGTCACACACCAATCAGACAGATAGTAGTGTAGTATTTGGCATGAGGTGCTGTCACAATGAAGAGGCTGTACTCTGCTCGGATTTGTTCTGGCTGCTTATAAAATCAGCAGTAAGCTACTATATCACATTTCCACATGTCCAACCTTATAGGGGAGTGAGCTTATGCTAACAAACTGGAAGGCTAGAGATGTAATGTAATATATGAAAATTTCACAGAAAAATGAAAGTGTCAACTGCGACACTTTAAACTTAGTTTAAAATGTAAAAGTGCAAATAAAACTTGACAGCAGTGCAGTGTTGTCACTGTGAACTAAAACTACATCTGTTATATTAGATAAAATGCATTAGCAAATTCAATGAAACAAACTAAATTAATAAAAAAAAAAGACAACAAATTACTTCATCATCATATAAAATTTTAATGAAAACAAAAATAAAAGCTAATTCAAAACCTTAACGCTGCGGTTTAGGGGAAGAATTTCTGTGGTTGTATCTTTTTCCTCATAAAAAGTGTTATATATATATATATATATATATATATACACACATATATACACATACACACACACACACACACACACACTTCTACATATGAAAAGACATTATATATAATTATTAAATGCAAGGCTGCATTTAAATATTTTTTTTTATTTCAAATTAATATATAATAAATATAAATAATTCAATTCAAATAATAACAAAAAACAAAACAGGAAAAAAGAAACAACAACAATAATAAATAATATTTTCCCCCAACAGTAATATGTTTGCCATACTAATTGTGTTAACAAACCATCAGTGGTAAGGAAGTATCTTTCTTTTATTTATTTATTTTATTTTATTTAATGTTTTCAACTTTTTTCTTCACTGGTCTATTATTGTGTTATATTACAGAAACCCGCCTCTAAATAGCATGCAAAATCAAAAACTGTAGTTTTCGCTTCAGGAGATCTCTTTCTGTCCAAGTGGGCAGTTCTTGGCCAGAGTAAGCTGCAGTGAGGACCAGACCATATGTCGTTTCATCAAAGGTCTGGCTATAAGTGAGACATTTCTAAGGCAACACTGTAATTGAAAAGTAATCCAAACAAAGTGTTTCTGAATAAAATATAAGTGCACTGCTCAAACTGACTCAGGGCTTGTGGGGAGCAAGGGAACAAAGAATCCGTAGCTACATAAGCAGATTCTCCGGTTTAATTCCATTTGTTGAGTTTAGGATTGTGTGGCATTTTTATTTAAGAAAATTAAGTGCAATGTTCATCTGATCAGGTCATTTTACACAAGGGCATACGAGGGTGAAACACGCGCACAGTGAACTCTTTATGCTTCCTTCTATCCACACATTCATACACGCGCACACAGACTTAGCCAACAATCTCAGCCACAACAATATTACAATAATAAATAATAAATAATATTTTCCCCCAACAGTAATATGTTTGCCATACTAATTGTGTTAACAAACCATCAGTGGTAAGGAAGTATCTTTCTTTTATTTATTTATTTAATTTAATTTAATG